CACCTCACACAGCTCGCCATCTTTCCTCTGTCGCATCTGAATGTGTTTACACAGCTCAGTGCACACTGTGTACACTATTTGAATGGCTCTCACGTCTGTTCAGTTTTGATAACCATACTCAGCACCTCAAAACAAATTACTCCTCACCCATTCAAGTCTGCTACCAATCAAAACTGTCTCCCCTAAACTGGGGTTGCGATAGATGCTTGGGGTATTAAACACACTCGTCATTTAAATTACAGCTATTCAAATGGAACTTTGCAGGCACTGTAGATAAAGATCTGAATTCTGCAGACAACTTAACGGGCATCAGGACTGTGTGTATGATCTTCTCAACACTGAGACTCAACTTCACTGAAGTTTGTGAATTTTTTTTTAATGAGGTCAGGCCAGTGCAGAACTGTGAGAATGGCAAATATTACCCTGTTGTTGTTCCACCCTTCTGGTCCAGACTGAAATATCTCAACAATTACTGAACATCTTTCTATTAAATCTTCTAGAGTCATCATGGATTTCTGGACAGTTGTTTGATCTGTCTGTTGATAGCAGGCAATGCAAAGGTAGACTTGATTGAGGGTTGGTAACCTGGCTTAACCTTCTGCAGGAAGAATAAAACCATGGAGCCCACAGCTGTGTCCAGAGGGGAAACGTTCACGCCAGCCGCAGGCACCAGTACACTTCCAGCACACGCTTACCCAGGGATTTTCAGCTCACTGTTGGAGCAATCAGTTTTGTGCACTTCACTGCTTTTTCTTTTTGAGGGTAGAGACACAGAAAGGGAATTTCAGGAGTTTTCTTTCAATCACTCATTCTTTTATCTGTTCCCCATAGTGTACTGTTTGCTTTCCCATGCCCCCACACACAGGTGTGTCTGTGTTGTCTCAACTTCCCCACCTTCCTTTTCCATCAAGATCATAAGGAACCACTCTGCAGTTTTCCTTGTCCCCCTTTCCTCTACTAAAATACTAATGTTAGCACTTGACTCTAAACTCCACTCTGTGCTCTTAGTCGTGTTAATTGTTTGAGACTGCGTGAACACTGAAACGTTGGAACTTTTCATCTTGGCTAAATTTTACATGTAGACAGTCTAAATTATCTTTCATATATATCCTTAGATACTTAAGTAGTATTTTAAGCCTTTATATACAAGTCTTTAAACAGCATTGAGGAATATGCACATTTGCATTTTAACCGAAGCTGTCGGTGCAACTTAAAGCTGTTTGTTTTTGTCAATGACACAAAATGGCACACTGTCAAATAGAACAAAATAAACAAATCTTATAATATTTGTCTCAGCTTACTATCACATTACTGTTAAAACCACCTCCTCTAACTTTTCTCATTGCTTTAGAAAAGCGCTTACTTCTAGTTTATGTTAAGTCGCATGACAAATTGCTTAGCATGTCTAATGTTTGGATTCAGAGTGTTCAGTAACTAATGTTGCTGGAGGAGTAGCTGCATAATTAGGACAGTTTACTGTCGCACTAATGACTCAAGTAAGACTCACTAAGTATCCACAAGTATCATTAGTGTTTGTTCATCTCACCTAGAACCATGTATCATTTTCATTGCATTTTTCTGTCATCATTATCGATATAGTGTGTGTAGAAAGTCATTCTTGCATAACTTGTTCTGATTAAAGATGAGTCCAAATGTGAGTTCAGATAAATAGATAGGAGAGGTCTTCGTGAAGCTCGCTAGTTTATTTCTACAGTACACATCAGGCAGCTGTGTACTGTGTGGGATATACAGTAGGTATGGGGAAGGAGAGGAATAGGGATGCTTGGTCCTATGGGTCATCTTTGATTTTCACCAGGTTGTATTGTTAAGATCTTTACTGTAGCCCACCTCTAAAGGGGGATAAGCAACGATGGCAAGTAACACTTGATGTGGAGACTCAGGTTTTAAATTCCCTCTTCTCACACAGTGAAGCGAGCTACCACGCCTTTGTTCAGACTCATGAGCCCTTTTCAGGTTTGAGGTTTTTAAAGAGCCATGGCATGCTTTTCTGTTTTCTGGCTTAACTACAATGAATTATCTTAAACATGACAGTGCAAAAAATGAGGTGTATCTATGTTGTTGTACTTCTATGCACAAGCAACTGGGTTTATACAAGGATTTCATTGAATGGTCATAATCTCCAGGCAGTTGCACATTCATGTGAGCTTGCCTGACATCCACCAGTGCCAGAATGTTCCCAACTGAACGCAGTTTTGTGGATATATTTTACCTCCTGCTGCTGCACTGTGACCAGAGGATATGGGTAAAAATACAGGACCTGAGGTTACTGCATGTCCGGGAATGTTCCTGTACAAGGACTCGCTGTTTTACCTGACCGGGTCTAACCTACATGCAGCCGGCCTGTGATACCCCCGCGCCGGTTTGTGATCAGCTCGTCAACGCTGGGTTCCCCCGGAGCACAGTACCTGTTTGTTTGGACTGATTGAGGCCAGTGTGTCTGCTGCAGGTGATGTGTTGCTGGTTGACTAGTGGATTAATGATCCATGATATTATTGTTGGCGCTACGCTACCTGTTGGAATTAATTTCATTTGCATGTCTGTTAAGGCATTGTTTCCATTAGGAACTGTTCTAAGGCTGGAGAAGTTACTATTCTGCATTATGCCAGTTAAAATATGGGGTTTCTCAACTACCCGCTTTGTTTAGAGCGTTACACATCTCTCTTCATCGGTACCGTTGTTTACCCATCTATGGAGGAGAAAATAAAATAAATGAATGCTGCTGCAGTTTGTCGTGCTGTTCATATTCTGGCTCAAACATACAGTATCAGGTAGGATTTGAGGTATTGTCATTGTCAAAAATGTAGCTTATTTGTCAGTGTTTTTTGTTTATGCATTGTCATAGCTTCCTGACTGGCAGCAGGAACCAATAAACTATCGTCTCAATTTTAAAATCTTGCAACGGATATACCCAGTCAAAGATACTGTATATTAGAAAGGTTTAGACTCAATATTGGTTATTCCTGTGATTTTTGTGGTCTAGTAAGATAAACTATTTCTCATTTGTTTTTCTATTGTCTCTGTACCAAGATATTTTGGACAGACAAACATTTGATTTGGAAAAAATTTGGGCAAAACTTCTATGCACAAGCAACTGGGTTTATACAAGGATTTCATTGAATGGTCATAATCTCCAGGCAGTTGCACATTCATGTGAGCTTGCCTGACATCCACCAGTGCCAGAATGTTCCCAACTGAACGCAGTTTTGTGGATATATTTTACCTCCTGCTGCTGCACTGTGACCAGAGGATATGGGTAAAAATACAGGACCTGAGGTTACTGCATGTCCGGGAATGTTCCTGTACAAGGACTCGCTGTTTTACCTGACCGGGTCTAACCTACATGCAGCCGGCCTGTGATACCCCCGCGCCGGTTTGTGATCAGCTCGTCAACGCTGGGTTCCCCCGGAGCACAGTACCTGTTTGTTTGGACTGATTGAGGCCAGTGTGTCTGCTGCAGGTGATGTGTTGCTGGTTGACTAGTGGATTAATGATCCATGATATTATTGTTGGCGCTACGCTACCTGTTGGAATTAATTTCATTTGCATGTCTGTTAAGGCATTGTTTCCATTAGGAACTGTTCTAAGGCTGGAGAAGTTACTATTCTGCATTATGCCAGTTAAAATATGGGGTTTCTCAACTACCCGCTTTGTTTAGAGCGTTACACATCTCTCTTCATCGGTACCGTTGTTTACCCATCTATGGAGGAGAAAATAAAATAAATGAATGCTGCTGCAGTTTGTCGTGCTGTTCATATTCTGGCTCAAACATACAGTATCAGGTAGGATTTGAGGTATTGTCATTGTCAAAAATGTAGCTTATTTGTCAGTGTTTTTTGTTTATGCATTGTCATAGCTTCCTGACTGGCAGCAGGAACCAATAAACTATCGTCTCAATTTTAAAATCTTGCAACGGATATACCCAGTCAAAGATACTGTATATTAGAAAGGTTTAGACTCAATATTGGTTATTCCTGTGATTTTTGTGGTCTAGTAAGATAAACTATTTCTCATTTGTTTTTCTATTGTCTCTGTACCAAGATATTTTGGACAGACAAACATTTGATTTGGAAAAAATTTGGGCAAAGGATCCATCTACAGGAAAGAGACATTATTCTAGGCTTTGAAAAAAATTGATGGATAATTATTTTGTGAAATTTGTGCAATTAATCATAATTAAAGGGAGGTTTCACATACTGTACCTAAAAAGAAATGCACCAACTGATTCCGCTGACATAGTCTGGAGGACATATGTGAAAACAGCTTTGGCTAGTTTTAAAGGTGTGTTACAAAAAAAAATGTAAATGATACTGCCTGGGGCTATGCAAATGTATAAAAGTGCATACTGGAATTAATGGTCTTCATTCAGAATGCATCACAGCATGCACAGAGGATCTTTTATAATACAGCAAAACATGCAGTTTTGGAATTGGAAGGAATGGTAACGGCTCTTTTGTCATACTCTTAAGATAATTTGGAATACGGACTGACAAGCGGTGCAGTTGTGCAGTCAGAAGGTGCAGAAGGAACCTGGCCTTTTCTGGAACAAGTATTTATTACAAACTGGCTTTAATGTCTAATTTCTGCTGTTCACTGGTCAGTACAATGTAATGTGCATTTCCACAGCACTGATTCTACAGCAGCAGTCTCGTCATACTATTTCTTCTCTCTAATGCAAGTGCTGTGCATAAGACTGCATTTATTTTGGTAATCTTTTTTTTTTTTTTTTTTTTTTTTTTTTTAAAACGCCCTTAATTATTTGAGACTGGGCATGAAGGAAGTTTTTGGCCTGATGTGACTACAGCAAATCATTGCAAATTTGTTACAGGGCAGAATTTCATGCAAACAAACCAACTTTGATGTCTTTTAAGTGTTTGGAATTGGACAAGCTGTAGTTCCAGATTAGGGGTTTTAATGGTTAATGCAGCCTAAAAGAGATTATCTTACTCTTGCCCCCAACCCTTCCCCATGTCTTTCTGCAGTGTATACTGTCTCAGCCCAAGTTCTGGGCTGTAGAAGTCACAGCACTTTTCCTCAGGACCAAACTGGAAAAAGGAAGCTCCCGGTGTGTTGAGAGAGCCATGATGCAAACCCAGGTAATTCGAGATGTATTTTCTTTTCACACAATATTGACCCCTTAGATTTGCACCAGCTTGATTTGTGTACTTGAATTTCTTGGCAGCATATTCAACTAAAGTCAAGTTTTCTTCTTACACTGAATTAATATACATTGCAATTTTTTGCTTTTATTCCCAATGTAAATAGTGTAAATAAATCTGAGAATGCTGATTGCCACTGATGTTATTCGTGTTATGTGTACTAGTAAATGTGAATCACATTCCAGGACTAATCTTATCTGCATGTGTGGATGTGGTAGCTTTGACTTCACACACTATTACTGAGTATATCAGCAAAGTTAAGAGCTGCAGAGCTGTACTCAGTTTACACTGCTAGCAGGTTTTGTTCTCTTTTTCAAAAGAGCCATAAGCACAAACAAAACCATTAACCTGCTGTTGTATCAGTGTTATTTTGGATGCTTGTCAATAACATCCTTTAAAGAATGAACACAGACCAAGCTAAGAAGTGTCAAAGACATGGCTGGAAGGCAACTTTGCTGTGCACACACTGAAAAAATAAAACATTAATTGATTTTTTTTTATATAGACATTTTCCAGCTTGAGACTAGGTACTTGAGAACAAGTACTAAATGCCATTTTCTTAGATGTGCTTCACATAGTTTCTGTAACATGGTTCAATTTTTGGAGTGGAATTGTTGGCATCATGCCCAACCTCTGACCTGGAGAACCAGGTGCTCATTTTTGTCTGGTCTCTATCCTGGGTACAACACTTTGAAGTGCTCAGCCACCCCAGAGCCACATGACTCTGCTAACCCCCTACCAGTGGATTTTGTTTTTGGCCTCAGTGCCGTCCCCATCTGAAAGCTGACTTTAAGATCTCAGCCAAGGTGCTCCCAGACCTCTTCAGCGACATCTGGTGAAGGACATAATACCTGATTACTGTAACAAATGGCTAATTGGCAAGCTTCCCTATAAAGGCAATCTCCAGAAATATGAGAATTGCTGAGACGTCACACTGCTCTCAGTTCCATCAAAGTTTTTCTGCAATGTTCTTCTCAGCAGAATGGAGACAGCCATTAACCTTAAGATGAGATGGGATTCAGAAGAGGCCGAGGATGCATGGACCAGATATTTGCACTGAGAAACATCAGTGCGCTGATTGGAACACCCTTTTCTACCTCAATTTCACTGACTTCAAAAAGCTTTTGACAGTGTCATGACAGTTTATGGAAGATCTTGTGATCATATGTAGTTCCTCTAAAGATGGTCTCATTAACAGGGTTGTTCTATCATAAATTTGAATGCAGTCATAGTAGATGGAAATTAGTTACAGTGAATGGACAGTGCAGCACAAAAGGACATCAGAGCAGTGCTTGGGAAAGCTTGCACTGCTTTTGCAATACTGTAGATGATCTGGAAGTTGAAGCAGCACAGCCTTAGAGCAACAGTCCAACTGTACAACAGCAATGTCAGACCAGTTCTGCTGTATGCTGCCAAATGCTGGCGAGTAGTAAAAGATTGCATGAGCAAGATGAACGCCTTCAAAAATGGGTGCCAAGAAGCTGTACAAGAAAATGATGAGCCAGAGTCAAACTTTGCTGCATCCAAAGACTTGGGCATGCTCTCAGAGTAGACTAGGCTCATATCCCCAAGAGTGCCTTTAGATGGACAACACCTGGAAAAAGGAGACATGGTCAGCCCAAGACAACCTGGCAACATACAGCAACACCTGAGTTAAAAGAGATGGGCTTGACAAGGCGCATGTCACAGCACACTGCACAAGACGGGTCCAAATGGAGGCACATTTTTGATGAGCAATTATTAAAGAATTATGTAAAATAAGAAGTGCTTGTGTTTGTTTTAGGTACTGAAGACTAACACATTTTGAGTGGCAGTGGCAAGACGAGATCAGATAAAATCTAAGTGTTTGTTGTGCCAGATATGATCCGTATGCAGTACATAGTAAAAATAAATATATATGTAGTGTTCTAAATAAATATATGCATGTTTTTGTGCACTTCCTACTGGTTTGCCTGAACTCCTTGACTGCAAATTTGTGTCTGTATTGTGCATTTACCAGTTAGAGGATACACTGGTGCAATGTGTGTATCAAGTTTAAGTCAGATACATGTTAATCCCAGTGAAAAATCTTCAGTGTCCTCTGTCTCTTGCCCGTACAAACAGCTTTTCATGGAGGCTTTTATTTCATGCAGCCTTCAGACATACAGTATGTAAGCTAAACCAAGATTTTTGGGTAAATCATGTATTTCTCAGCTTCACATAGCCGCTACTGTTGTTGCGGGTGTCTGTTCATTTTTGCAGAGCGAAGAGAACCATATAAAACATTTTGTGCCAGAGAGTTAGAAAGCTCTTTCAATTTTGCTCTTGCTGATTAGTTTCACTGCTGTGGAAATGATGTTAACCTGCTGCAAGGAAGAAGGGAGAAGATGATGTCAAAGAAGCACCTGTTTCTTTCTCCTGCAGTTCTTTAAAATTTGTCTTTTTTGCACAGATTATTAATTTCTTATTTGTATGAAGTAGTACTGTACAGATGTGTGACACATTAAAGGAAAGCCAATAATGTCTTGGTAAAGAGTTGAGCCACCATGAGCCAACAGCTTCTGTGGACCTTGGCATTGATTCTACAAGTCTCTGAGTTCTACTGGAAAGATAAACACCAGTCATTTATTTAGGTTGTCTTTAATTTGTTGCTCATCTGTATGTGTACCTCTGTTACTATGTAGAAGGATACAGCAACAGGTGAACAGCTGGTGACAAACTGACATGGCAGCCTCTCAACAGGCTGTTTGTCTCTGTGACTGTTCCCTTTCATTGGCCATTTAGTATCCAATGACCCCTATCTTCGATCCTGTAGCCCTGTCAATGCTCACACCATGTGTACATACAGTATCTGGTGGTCTGTGTGTATATATACACTGGGAAGCATTTAAACACAGTAGGTCAGTTGAGTTTCATTTGTATAGCGCCAAATCACAAGAAAGTCATCTCAGGACACTTTACAAAGTCAGGTCTAGACATTATTATTATTATAGATTTAAAAAACCCAACAAATCCCCCTTGAGCAGCACTTGGTGACAGCTGGGAGAAAAAAAAAACTCCCTTTAATGGAAGAAACATCTGACAAACCACTTGGTGGGCGGCCTTCTGGCTCGACCAGTTGGGGTGAGTGAATAGAGGAGAGACAAAAGCAACAAGACACAACAATCAAACACTGGGCAGGTTGATGTGTTCGGTGACTGTTCATCAGAAATTCAGAGCTCCGGAGCCAGGGCTACCTGCAGAAAGGTACAGGGAGAGAGAGAGGACACACTACAGGAGAGAGGAGACACAGTTAGTGACACGTAGTGGTGGCATATAGATGGATGGAGAGGGGAGGAGAGGGGTCATCTGCCTTTTGTAAACTCTCAGAGCCCCAAGCAGTCATTGTGGTTATGTGCAAAACAACAGAAAAATAAACTAGGAGTGTAAAACTACAGTAAATTGTTTAATACATCAGAATGTTCAGTTGCTAAAGGTGAGTTTTGGTCATTTTTGGCAACAGGTGACTCAATCTGCCAGTGAACAATAATTGTGGTGTGGTGAAATACACCATTGTTCTGCAGGCACAGTATGTCTTGTGGATGTGTCAGAGAATAGCAGACCCATGTGCTAATGTTCATCTCCTGGTTTCTCTTTCCAGGCTGTAGTAGACCACTTCGAAGACAAGAACTGTCCAGTCACCGAGCGGCTCAAAGTCTTCTACTGCTGCCGAGCCCCAACGAGATGGGCTGTCCAGGTAGCTCTTTGTTTTCAAGAACATATCAAATTAGTTTTTCTTTTTAATAAATCAAAAGGAAAAACCACACATTGACTAGGTCTCAATTAACTTCCCTCCTAATCGGAAATGATCAGATGTGGTTGAATACATTTTTCAGGAGGGTATAGCACTCACCCTGCAGTGAGACTGTTCACCACTGTGTCTGTTACAAATGAAAGCATGTGAGTAGTGTGGCAAAAGCTCACAATGACAACTAAGATTCTGAAGTTCAACAGGTTAATATTTTCCATGGTCACCATCTTGCATTGTCTTGCTAACATTTGCTAATTAGTGTTAAACACAACTTGTAGCTGTTGACTAATGGCAGTGTCATTAGCCTTGCAGGTATTTTGTAAAACACTAACGTACTGGGCAAATTGCATTTACCCTTGGGAACCATGAATGTGTGTATTAATTTCATGTAAATCCAGACATTTCACACTGATGTGAAAATATCATTGTAGCTCAACAAGAAAAACCAAAAGATTAACAAAGTTATTTGCATTCATTCTCTGGGGACCATGACTAAAACAGCATAACAGTATAACCTGTCTGGCTTCAACCTCTGCAACAGCTGTTGATCTGTTCAACACTATGATCCATACCTAATGGTTTATGGTGCCCCCCTGACGTTCATCGTATGTAAATTTTTCATTGGCCAACATGTCAAAAACTTGTCCTGAAGACATATTAAAATGTCTTAGGCAGATTGTAATTCAATTAGTTGAATTCAGTAATGCTTCTCAGCTAGCTAAATAAAAAATAAACTCAGTGTGCTAGTCAAGAACTCTCCAGCTGATTTGTATGGAAATTACATCCACACAAAATAAATATTTGTATACCCAGTAAATTTGACAGTGACAATCTTTTCAGACAAAGTATTGTGCAGTCTGAACCAGGCATAAACCGTGGAACTGAAACATCCCGACTCCCCACTCATTGTTCTAGGGGACTTGAACAGAGCAAATCTCACCCACTATAGGCAGAAACGTAAAGCTGCGACACCTGTGGTAAAAACAGTGAACAGATGGACCGAGCAGACAAAGTCAGAGCTACAGGTCTGAGTTGACTGCAAACATTGGAGTGTATTTGAGGCTGCAGCTACAGACCTGAATGAACTCACTGACACTGTGACATCATACATCAGCTTTTATGAGGACGTGTGTGTGTCCACCAAGTCCTTCTGCACAAAGAACAACAACAAGCCCTGGTTCACAATAAAACAAAAGCAGCTTCGTCATGACAAAGAGGAGGCCTACAAAAGCAGGGACAGGATTCTGTACAGCCAGGCCAGGAACACACTGATAAGGGAGATCAGAGTAGCAAAGAGGAGCTACTCCAAACAGCTGAAAACCCAGTTTCCAGCCAACGACCGCACGTCTGTGTGGAGAAGCCTGAAAAACATCACTGACTACAGGAAACCATCCCCCGCTACTGTGAACAACAACAGAACTCCCCCACCCGCCCACCTCGGACCCAGCAGCTGCTCCCCTCACCCCTGAAGAGCTATGAAAAGGATGTGTGTGGCCTTTTTAACAAAAGATCAGAAAGGGACAAGGCCCAGACGCTGTGACCCCGTCCTTCCTGACAGCTTGTGCTGATCAGTTGGCCTCCATCTTCAACAGATCATTAGAGCTGTGTGAAGCCCACTCCTGCTTCAAATGCACCATCAGTGGACTGAATGACTACAGACCTGACATAACATCTGGAGTTATGAAGACTGGTGTTGACCCACCTGAAGGACACCGTAGACCCCCCTACCAAACCCCCCTGCAGTTTGCCTACTGGGCAAACAGGTCAGTGGATGATGCAATGAAGATGGCACCGCATTACATCCTGCAACACCTTGACTCCCCAGTCGCCTGTGCACGGGTCTTCTTTGTGGACTTCAGCTCGGTATTTATCAGCAGCATCCTGTACATCCTTCACTCTAAACTGACCCAGCTCACTGTACTTGACTCCACCTGTCAGTGGATCACCAGCTCTCTGACAGACAGGAGGCAGCAAGTTAGGCTGGGGAAAACCATGTCCAGCACCCAGACTATCAGCACAGGCGCCCCCCCCAGGATATGTGCTCTCCCTGCTGCTGTTTTACCTCTACACCAATGATTACACCTCAGGGGACCCCTGTGTTAAACTCCTGAAGTTTACAGATGACGCAACAGTCATTAGTCTCATCTGAGATGGTGACAAGTCAGCCTATAGACAGGAGGTTGAACAGCTGGTCCTGTGGTGTGGTAGTGACAACCTGGAGCTGAACACGTTCAAAACAGTAAAGCATTTCCCACGGCGTGATGTTGCCGTTTCACAACACTTAAAAGCCGTTTAGGGACTGAGGACACCAAGTGATTCAGTGTGTCAGGTGTCATTTTGGCCCATTCTTCCTGCAAACAAGTCTTAAGGTCCACAACAGTCCTGGGTCTTCGTTGACGCAATCTGCGTTTCAACATGTGCCACACATTTTCTACTGGGAACAGTACGGGACTGCAGACAGACCAGTCTAGCACTAACAGCCTTTTCCTCCACAGGTAATGTGGCAGGATGAGGTGTTGATAAAATATGCATGGGCGTCCCCGGAAATGAAGTTGTCTTGAAGGCAGCATATGTTGCTCCAACATCTCTCTTTACTGTTCATCATTAATGGAGCCATCACAGAAGTGGAAGTGGCTTTTGCCAAGGGCACTGACACAACCCCAGACCATGACAGACCCTGGCTTTTGGACTTGTTGCTGGGAACAGTCTGGATGGCCCCTTTCTGTCTTTGCACACGGCGTCCATTCTTTCCAAAAAAGATCTGAAATAGTGATTTGTCTGACCACAGTGCACGTTTCCACTATGTGATGTTCCATCCCAGAGGCCTCCAAGCCCAGAGCAGTCGACTGTGCTTCTGGACACAGGTGAGCCAAAGTCATCCTGAGCCCATGTGGTTATATCGTTTATAGAAGAGTGATGATGGAGTGCCGTCTCAGGGATCAGAGAGCTCGGTCATCCAGCTCAGGCTTGGCCCTCTATTTTTATTTTCCTAATCCACATTCCTTTTCTTGTTTGCATATTCTTTATTGTTTCTTGTTTTGTTCTTAGTTTTATCTTGTTCACTTGTTACTTTATGGAAGAGCATGGTCCATACACATTGAGAGCCACTGTACCAGAGTCAAATTCCTCATGTGTCCAGCACACCTGGTCGGTAAAGCTGATTCTTTATGTGCAGAGTGTAATGTCTTAATAATTGAGCTCTATGCACAATGTTTCAGTATGTTAAGAGATCCAGAACTTGACAGACCTGCTGTGATTAATGGTTTCTAGGTCATTTATTGTCTCAGACTGAATTTCTTACAGTTAGAAAATGCTCATTTCCAGTTTGTAGAGTAATACTATGAATTGCTTTTAGTGCAGAAGATGACCCCTCTGAAGCAGCAGAGGAAAAATAGGGCAAACATAAAGTTCCCATGAGGGCCCAAGGTAATTAAATTGTTTTTTGTGACACATTTACTGAACCACAATACATCATCACATCTAGCAAAACCAGCGGTAGATGCTATAATGTAGCCGAGCAAATTGGGGAGACGAAAATGGAAAGAACAGTAGTAGAATAAGCATATAGAAATGTAGATTTGGTCAACATATTGAAGGAGGAGGAGGAGTGCTGGAAAGGGGGAGAGATCAGTTGGCAAGCAGACTTCACCCAGGCAGCATGTAATAACTGATAACAGCAATAAAGCTGGAATTGAAGAGTCTCTATTGGTGCCCGGGGACTTGAAAGTGGGTTGAAGCAGAGGATTGCAGCAGGCGCTGTGATGCATTTTCTCCACACAGGAGAACCATGGCTTGTATTAACAAAGCACTGAAGGGCTTTTTATGGCTGGGAGTGGGTTTTTGTTTTTCTCTCTCTCTCTCTCTGTGTGTGTGTGTGTGTCTGTGTGTGTGTGTGTATGTGTTGTACTTTGTTCTCATGGGAAACTATTTCATTTTTACGCCTTTGGAGTGAGGGCATTTTTATACTTTACATACTGTTGGTTTTGCACATTTCAGGCCAATAACACATCACTCCGTGTATTTAACATTACTACTGAGCATTTTCTAAAGCATGCTGTAAATTTTACAATTGATTTCCTACCGTTCAGACAACCAGTACTATAGACGTCACAGTAAGTCTTTTTAGCCTTTCCTGTGACATGGCCCCAGGTACAGCAAAGTTGGTTTGTCAGTCCTGACCAAAATATCCAAAAATAAAAAATCCTGGAGGGATTGCAATAAAATTATGTACAGATGTTTATGGTCCCTAAAGAATGAATCCTGATGTTGATTGTCCCATGACTCTTTTCCTTACATCAGCAGGTCATACATTTTGAAAAATATCAAAAACGAGTTAGTGGGTTTGCCCAGACATTCCTGGTTCCTAAACGGTGTGTCCCAGTGATTTTGGTGAGCCTTTAATATTTTTCATTGACTGTGTATATCTGCTGGGCAATTAAAATTTTTTTCAGTTACGATTTTGGCTTTTAATGATTATGAAAACAAACTAATCGAGTTCACACTAATATTGTGCTGCACTTCGTTTTCACAAAGATGCTCAATGTTCAATGCTTTTTTGCTCACACTGGGTGAAGTGAAACATTACTTGAAGTGACAACACCCAAGTTTGTTACTGTATGTGCAATAAAACCTCCACAAGTAAACAGTCCGAGAGAGTAAGAGCAACACCTACTAAATGAGCATACACTTGCAGAGAAGCATTCATTTCAACTTTGCTCGTAGTCCATCGTGCAACACCAGCTTGTGTTAACCACTGCAAGCTTGTTATGAACAAGCTAAAACAAAAGATGACTGTAGCCTCACTGGTAAACAAGAGGGAGAGAAATAGGTGCAGCTGTGTCGTGGGGAGCCCAGCAGATTCTTTAGCCAGTATTGTTTTACTGTTGAAATAAATCCGGAGTAATAGCTGAAATATTTCCCATGAACTGTCAGTCACAGTTAGGTCAATGAAATACTTTGTTTTTGAGTTGAACTAAAGTAAAAAAAAATAGACATTTTTAAATGTTCAATAAATGCGTAATGTTTTCATAGTCAGTGAGTAATCATATTAAATAATCATGATCTCACTTCACTCTGTTTTTTTTATTTTTTTTTTGGGAGAGCTGAAGGAGCAGCTCTCCATACTTCTCTTTGGTTTTTAGTTGGGAGGCCTGCTCAGCTTTTTATTTTACTTTTTGTTTTTCCCTTTGATCGCTATCTCCTTCTCAGTGCTTTCATTCAGACTTTAAAATGTGTGTCTTCTTTGTTAGACTTGTTACTTTTCTTTTTTGTAACTTTTGTCGTTTTTGCCAACTTTTTTATAATGGTTTTCTATGGGGAAAAACTTTTAGCTTCTGTAAACCTTCCTCTTTGTCAGGTTTCTGCTTTGTCTTACTTTGGGCTAGAAACATAATTTGCCCTTCAACTTTTCTCTTCAACGCTTTTGTCTGTTTTCTTCTTTTACTCTGCCGAATTTTAATTTTTATAAACAGTTTTTACTTGAAAGATGTAGAAAAACATAAGAATTCAGGAACTGCACTTCTTTTTGTCTAAGGCCCTGTTCACACCTAGCATTAAATCCGTCCTCAGTGATTGGCTCTGACCTCCCTCGCTCTATATGCAAATAAACACGCACATTATTTACACTTCTGTGTCTTTATCATCATTTATCATGCATAAAATTAGGCTGTTATTGATGTATGATTCACACATACATTTATGTTTTTTACATTTGCACTGATCACATGTGGCACGTGTAATTTCGTTGTACTTATGACACTTATATAATGACACTAAAGTATTCATTCATTCATTCATTAATAAAGATTGCAGGATATGTGCGATTCTTGCCATCACCATTCACTTTAATGCAAAGATCACCAAATCAATTTCTCTTGATCATGTCATTTGGTTTAAAATAAAAATTAAGAACAACATTCTCCACACACAGTCTACACATGAATCACCATTTTTCATTTTGGCTACATATCACACGTTGTCAAAGAAAACAAGGCACTGTTTTGTGCTTCAGCTATTTTCTGTTGCAAACCTTTTTTACTGGTGTCTGCTATGAATACGTGTGCAAAGTCCACATGAAAACTATTGCTGTCCAGCACATTTCTGCTGTCAGTTGGCCTCGTGAAGACCGATTATTTCAACCACAAAGGAAGCCATTCCATCATTCTGCAAGCTGTTGTGGATCACTTCTGTCAGTTAGTAGCACACATACAGGCATACCCAGTGAGAGAGGCTATACAGACGTACTGTGCTGTGCATCTTTTCAGTTATAATGTACTGATGTATAAATCGTACAAAAACATATACGTGTTACCAAGCTAATGGCGCTAGTTTAGTAGGCAACTCCTCAATCTGTCCCAGGATGCATTTGTGTTCAGACTAGGAAGAGACTGTGGACACATGTGTCCCAGACCACCTTCGAATGTGTGCTGAGTGATCAGAGTTGAATCCGTGTGTGGAGTGTGTTCAGACCTGGCATTAGCACTGGCCATTTGTGTTTCCCGGGACATGTTAATGACAGGGCCTCAGTCTCTCCTTCGGTCCCATTCTAAGAAGCTACAGAAAGCAGAGGTCTTCTTGCGCCCGTAGTGAAGGCATATTTTTAAAAAAGGCTAGTTTTCTTTCAGTAGTCCATTTTATGAAGCAAAGTTTTCAGCTGTCTGGAGAACTAGAGTGTAATGTACGGTATGTGTTACTGTGAGTCCCCGTCCTCCAGGGGGTTCACGTCACCATAGCAACAGTGACTCAGCTGTAGAGGTGTGTACAAGGCCATCTGTGATTTGCTGTCTTAATGTTTTACCCACCAAACTCTTTGTTAAGGCCTCCTTTCACCTGTGGTGAAGTTTTTCTTTTGATAGGATTAATAGTTTTTCTTTACTTTCCATTTTGTGAGGCAAAGTTTTCTCATCTTCAGCTGTGTCTTTACTTAAGGATGAGACATAATGATGGACCTGCTGTTTATCAGTCACCAGTTTGTCCTTTACACTCTCTGTCTGCACTTACCAACATGAAGTCATTTAGTATCTGAGTTTCTTGTAGCCTGTTGCTGCTGCGTTGTCCCTGTACCTGTTCATTACTTGTTCTCTCATGAACAGTGTACCTGACAGTACAAATACTTTCTAATACTGCTAACATTAACACTAACTAGATTGGCCTTCCTAGTAGAATGTGTTCTTCCTCCTCCCTTTCATTCTTTTTTCCTGTCCTCCCATCCTTCTTGCCTCCTTTCTTTCCTCCTTTCCTTTCTTCCTTTCAGCCTTTTTCTCTTCCCTGCCCTCTTTCCTTCTCGTTTGAACCCATCTTTCTTTCATTCAGTCCTTTCTTTATATGTTCTTTCCTTCTATGAGCTCCTTTGTTTATTTTTTCAGATGTCTTCTTTATTCTTCTCTTCCAGTTCGGAGCTTTTATAAAACTTTATACATCCAATAGTTTTAACAATTCCACTCTTTCATAAAATATTAAACTTTCTTTTACATCCTTTTTTCTTTCAGTGTTTCTCCTTTTTCTGCTTTTGCCTTCTTTTTCTTTAGTAATCTAGTTTCAGTCAACTTTTTGTTTGGCTCCAATTTTATACCTTTACATGTACTAACATTTCAACATTTGGCAACTTGTCAGTGATTACCGTCGTTTTAGCAGCAGCTCTGCCATGTCATTTCTTCACAAATGACCTTTTCTAGTTATGATTATGATTTTTGCCATAAGTGCAGCCCTAATGTGCACTTAAGTAGTCCTCTTACAGTCAACTTCTAACTGCCATGTAAATAGTGAATCTTGTTTTCTGTTTTTGCTCTCAGTACAACACTGCCAATTGCTTTGTGTCCACATGAGTGAACGCACTACTACTGCTGTTGTCTCCCACTCTACAGAAACAGCTGGCCAGCCTGCTGACAGACCTCGGCTGCATCAGTTCAGCTCTGCTCATTTATGAAAAGCTGGAGCTCTGGGAGGATGTTGTTATCTGCTATGAGAGGCTGGGCCAACATGGCAAGGTATCTCTCCCTGTCTCTCTCTCTCACACTCTCTCACACACACACACACACATTTGGTTTGTCCCTTTTGGGGACTTCCATTGACTTGCATTTAGTTCTTGAAGACTTAACGTAACCCTAATACCTAACCTTAAACCAAGTTCTCACCCTAAAATTCAGTAATTATATCGGATACCCACAAGGACGCTTCAGTCCCCACACTGTGAGTAATACCAGGTACACACACACACACACACACAAAGTCATATTTTTTTATCATTACCTCTGTCGCAGAGGCATCAGAACTTGGAGTGAGTATTTATTTTGAACAAAGAATAAAACTGATGAGGTATCACATCAGATAAGGCTGCTGTGTTTTCAATGTAACACAGGACACAGATGATTTACACATCACTATTTTCAGTTTTAATTCTGATTGTACATACTGTGTTAACTTTTTATGATTTGGGGTTTTATATTTTTGCCAGTATTTGTTTGTGAACAGTGTAACTCAAAATGTAATGAACAGATTTGGATGAAATGTTTTGGAGAGGTAGAGCATGTGCCAGAGAACAACTGATTAGATTTTGGTGCTGATCCGTGTCATAATTTGGATACATATTTTACATTATTAACTGTAAATACTGCAAAGACTGTTGACTGCATGTGAGCCCCCTTGTGGCCAAATTGCACAGCTGCACTGAGCACTCCAAATACATACACACACACACACACACACACACAGACAAAGCCCTGGGTTAATGACAGCTGCCCATTCACTGTCAATGGAAACCAAGTGGTGTCACTCAGTCCAGCTCGCTGTGTGAGATTGACAGCGCGGCGACAGCCCAGAGCTGAGAAACATCTACTCTATGCAGCAACAGCTGGGCAAGAGCCTAATGACAGAGATTTGGAGCCAGGCTCAGAGCTGTTAGCAAAGTAGAAATTTGTTCTGATGTTTTCATAAATATGAGCACTCATGATCTGACCAAGCTCTATTAGCAGGCAGCTACATCTTTTCAGAGCACAGACTACCAGATAAAATGCCCTTTCTGCTTTGCTAAACACACTCAGACTTTAGTTATTCCTTTTTTCCACATTATCCCCAAACTGTTCACTTTCATATCATTCACAAACAGACAGATATTGACATGCTCTGTGTTTTTTCACTTGGTCTTGAATTAAGCTTTTCCTGAGCCTGCAGATATCCTGAATACACCTTACTCCAGATTTGTCTCTGTACTGTATGTTGAGATGCAGTGATGCACTCACAGCATTGAATATGAATTTGAATTTTCACCACAGAGTTGTGTTTCAGTGTCAGTGAAAATACTTGATTCTAATTGGCCAGCAGATGTGTGTTAAAAGTTTATTAAAGTACACTTTAAACATAATTGTGGTCAGCAGTTTTATCTCTGTTCTAAATCAACGAGCTGTGTTAACTGTGGCTAAACATAGCTACAATTTAAACAAACCTAAACATGGGTCAAGGAGTGACTGCTGACACATTTAAGTATTGACAGCTAATGTAAACTTCCTTATTGTACTCTATATTGGTAAAATGAGTAGTCTTAGTGCAGCCCTGTCTGTACCCATGCAAGATTTTATCGACAGTACGTCTACACACAGCCTAACAACTAGGAGCACATGCACACAGTTAGAGCTCTGCCCTGTGAAAGCACTTGCTGTTTTTTTTTAGTTTTAGCCTGAGGAACCATTTAATACCCAGCACTTTTTGGCCTAGAAGGTAATTTTTCTCACACACACACACACACACACACACACAAACACATTGTTTTGGAGTACTTATCTGATCCTGTGGCACACCAGTGGTATGAGCAGAATTCCCACAGTCAGTGGCACTGCAACATGCATACTCTTTTCACAAAGACATAGAATGTCATCACTTTGTTTTCAGGTGATTGATTAAATATAGAATTTTTTTACTGGCAAACTCTATTTCTAGCTCAGATGTAAAGGAGGGTGCTGGTATTCTACTCTTGTGCCATGTGTAGAAATCTATGTGGTCAGGGTCATTGTTTTTTTACCATTGTACAAACAGTTCAATCATTCAGTACCAGTGACAGTTCATGCCAATTATGGCACATGCTAAGGTCATGGTGGGATACTTTAAAGCAACAGTCCATACCTTTTTACATGAAAATAACAGCTTCAAGCACTATGTACTTTGGATTATCATCCTGGAGCACTTATTGCTTTATGATACCAGGTCTTTCCGCCAGCTCAGTATTCTTGCATGTAGAGACAAATCCACAGGCCTTTACTGAGCTTAGATTTTTTTTTTCAGGCAAGAAAGTGACCACTTAGACTGTGAAGATGTGGTCAGTTTATCTAGGTAATGCCAGTTTGGAAATTTGCTCTGTTTTCAGAAGTTGTGAGGACCTGTTAGTACACCAAGCTAACTCTCCTTAGCAGACAGCTACATGTCGTTCAGAGCAGAGTAATAATAAGCTGCTGCTAGCAAAGATGCTGGTGTTCTGGGAAGAAAAACTGCTACATTTCTCTTTGTAGAATTTAAGACTGTAGTGAAATATATATGAATGTGTCTATAGATCTTTCTGCATATTATTCCATGGCCAAGGTGCATAGTAGCATAATGAAGTTTACATTAAAAAGTAACTAGCAGGAAGTGAGTAGCTGGTATTCACCAGAGCTACGACAGAAAAAGCTGCAAAGATAAGCTGAAAGTTTATACAGTATCGCTTTATACAACCACAAATCAAAAAATTAAAACTGAAAATAGTGATGTGTAAGTCATCTGTGTCCTGTATGACACTGAAAACAACACAGCAGCACATTATTTGATGTGACACCTCATCAGTTTCATTCTTTGTTCAAAATAAACACTCACTCCAATTTTGATGCTGCAGCACATTCCAAAAAAAAGTTGGGACCGCAGTGTGATGCTGCTGTTTCCTTTTCACAACACTTAAAAGCCGTTTAGGGACTGAGGACACCAAGTGATTCAATGTGTCAGGTGTCATTTTACCCCATTCTTTCTGCAAACAGGTCTTAAGGTCCACAACAGTCCTGGGACTTCGTTGATGCAATTTATGTTTCAGACTGCGCCACACATTCTCTACTGGGGTCAGGTGGGGACTGCAGGGAGGCCAGTCCAGCACTCACATCCTTTGCCTCCATAGCCAGGCCTTGGTAATGTGTCAGGATGAGGTTCAGCATTGTCTTGTTGAAATATCCCTGATAAAGACGCTGTCTTGAAGGCAGCGTGTTGCTCCAACAAAAAAAGCTTATTTATTATTTAGTAAAGCACATTTTCTTCTTCATTTTTAATACGGTGACAAATTTTGTGGACTTTTTATGGCAATATCATTCCATAAGATTTTGGTATTGTTACATCCCTACTTAATGTTTACTGCAGGTTTTTTCAAAATCTGACCCTGTGGACTCCAGTTTTTTGTCTGCGACTCCACAGGTCAGTTGTAATTTTGGTTTAGATTTAGTGTTACTCTTTTAATAGAAGTATATATTATTTGTAGTCAAAATGCCATAAACTGAAATATAGTTTTTGTCAGTGACATTTTAATATGCCTCCTTTTGACACAAAATGCAACAGTTCTTCTCAGAGGTCTTTCTTGTTGTCTCAACGTCACACCCTGCAGTGGAGACTCATTTTTGTCTTATGTAGTCTGATCCGTTTGTCCACTACTCCAAACCCCTGACCATAGTGAGAGCTGGACCGTAGATGGTAAATGAAATAATAGTTGATCCAGTCTAGTAAAACATTGAAATTACTGCTGATGTCGACTCTCATCTTAAACTCTTTCACTTGGGACATCAAACTGTCCTATGTTCTTTTGCGGCCACACTAGGGCCTCACGTGGAGGTATTGACTGATCTCATCTGTGTCGGACTCGGGTGCAAACCATCCCAGTACATCAGGTCATAGAAAGCAGCAGCTTCATCAACCTGCCAGCAGATCCAACTCATCTGCAAAGAAAAAAACTGAAATCCTGCTTTACTGAGAACAGTATAACAAGAAAGACATTAGGGGATATGGCAAATGATGCACTCCAAATGAGTTCCCAGACACTGATGGTGATGTCATGCAGTGGCACAGAGTACAGGCCCACGTCTTCTTGTATTTGATTGGTAGAGTAGACTGAAAAAGAATTAGATTCACCTTGTGATCAGAGAAAGCAGGTGAGTAATAGATATTCATCTAAAGCCCTCAGGTGAATGCACTTTTTGAGGAAAGGTGGAGTGACTTTCATTTTGGATGCTCACTCTGTGAGTTCATGTCTGAGATTTTTTCCAAATGGTACAAACTGTTTTTCAGCACACCCTCCATTATTAAAGTCCTCGTGTGTTTCTGAATAAAGAGCTGCTTGCTGTTACGGAACTCCTCAGCACTGAGTTCAGTTTGGGTGCTGTTGGGATATGAAGGAGAAATTTCAAAATGGCAGAGGAGCCTTTTCACCTTTATCTTAGATATAAGTTGCTAAGATGTGGACAGGAAGGAGAAAGATGAGGAGACCTGATTGGCAGTCGCACTCAGACCCCTTACATCGCACACACACTGTGCCTGGTATATGGCACACCGCACCATAACCATTCAGCTACTGGGTCGTTCAAAAAGGTTTTAAAGTTTAACTTTTAATCATGAAATATATTCATGTGGTTAGTGGTCTGAAAGTGGTAACCATCCAGACTACTGCTAACATTTTATCACCCACAGTCTGAAATTATACAAATGTACAATTTTTTGTAATTTATTGACATTCATATACACAGTATGCACTATAAGTATGCAACCATTCAGCATAAAATGCATGCAGTTAGAACTCAGAGTCAGAGATTATACCTTTGCATAAGCGTTCATACAGCCAGTAAACATGTGGCTTACCACCTAGCTGCAGTTGCATACAAACACACACATTAATTGCAGATATGCCGACATCACGTGTGTGTAGAGTCTGATTACTGACCTGAATGTCTCCTCCTCCTGGCTGTCAAAGAGTCCTTAGTGGGACTCCTGGGGGTTGCCAGACCTCCATTATTCAATTACAGTTCACTTTGTCTTTCCAATTCAATTACCCTGGTGCTTTCGGCTAATAATAAAAGTCTCCTGTGCCCCTCTTGTCTTAAGCCTTGTGTTGTGGTAATCCCAGCCAGTAGCCCATGTTATGTAGTCATTGGGGTCCAAAATAACAAGGCAATGGAGTAATCTGGAGGGCTTTGGTGTCTCTCTAGAGCTGCTGCTTTTTTCTCAACTCCTGCTTTCCTCTGTCACGGTGTCTTTGTATCATTGTGATGCAATGTAAAGCTAATGTAAGAGCTTCAGTATTGCAACTATGACAATAGTACTGACGTACATAATGCAAAATCAAGAAAAGAACAAATCATTCTGAGACACAGGGCTTCACTGGGTGGCATTGTGTTGTGTTGCAACAAAAAATGGACTTGGTTAAGACCTTGACAAACCAACCCGCTGGTCGGTCGTCGGCCACTGTCGGGCAGTCGGTGAGCATCTGTCAGAGCTCGTCTTCGCAGTGTGTCCCACACCGTTGGCACTAGTCAGACTCTGTCAGCAGCTTTTTGGCTGATTAGGCATGTTGAACCTTGTCAGTGAGAGAGACCACTCTGACTGGCTGTTCGGCTTAGCAAATCAATACACAAGAAGAGAACGGTTTGAAAAAGCCACTTCAGCCTGTCGCTGTCCATGATTTCACAAATTTGCTGCAGTTTCTCTTTTTTCTTGCATTCACATCCTCCTTTCTTCTTCCACAAGCAAAAGACCAAGGGCAGAGAATGCCAGGGCCATTTGCAACTTCTTATCAGACAAGTTCTGAATCAGAAGGAGCTATAAACGGCAGCTGTGTTGAATGATAGCTGCTCTGTTTACAGCTTGTATTTCCGCTGTCTAGCACTTTTTCTTTTCCTTTCTGAATGGTGAATACATGTACAGTATGTGTATGGTTCTTAAAAATACATAAATTAATTAATCAAATATATACATGACGCCCTCCGAGGCAGACGTGTTCCACTCTCGGATTCCGGCTTTTTCTTCGTTTTTGTGTGTCTTTTACTTTTCACACTCACTGCTGACTATTTGCATATCACAGCTCCCACATAGCATATATTCTCTCTACATTATATTGTGTTCTTGTTGTATTTTTATTGTGCTTCTTTCACTTGCTGCTTTAAAGTGCTTTAGATTAGTGTTACTGCATTTTTAGATTTGTGTTATTGCTTATCTACTTTATATTTCACTTGTAACGTCTGGCATTCATGTGGACGGCAAAGTAATAATTTCATTGTACAGGGAAACACGTTTCCTAACTGTGCATATGACAAACACCTTTGACCTTTGATATGCCAGCAAAAATGTGATAGTGTGAGCTAAATTATCCTCACTGTGTGTTTTGTTATGATTAATTGCAGAATGTTCTCTCTGGTACAGCCTGCTCAGAGTTGTATAACTTGGTCCAGACGATGAGGTGTCTTGTTTCCGGGCCTAGGCTCTTGGCTCAGTGTCTGGTACCTGACAGGAGATTTCAGCAAAGGAATGCAAGTCGACTAAGTCACTGTCAGGCCTCAGAGGCCCTCAGCCTTTCAGGGGTTAGACTGGTGCAATTCACAGTCTAAATCAAGATAAAGGAATGTGGAAAGGTTAAACAACCTGTTCATTATTCTGTCCTCACAATGGTGTGAGCCTCAGTTCATCCAGGAGCAATCCAGAGCCTGTAGTGGCATGGTCAGGTGCAATGAGTGCAAGTGTCTGCAGGTCATATAACAGTGACTCTACTTGCAACATAATCTCTTGATTTTTCAGTGTTTTCCTGTCAAACATTCCACAATTTTCCCAAATCCCTTTTGTCATGTTTTTGTCATTTTCTTCCCATTATTCTGTCCGGTATTGTCTGTGTTATTCATGTTCTGTCCATTTCCTCCACCACTCTGAGCTTCCCTCTATTTTTTCTTAGGCTGAGGAGATTGTTCACAGGGAGCTGGAGAAGAAGGAGACACCCAGTCTGTACTGCCTACTGGGAGACATCCTAAGGGACCATCAGTACTACAACCGGGCGTGGGAGCTGTCGGGCAGACGTAGTGCCAGAGCCATGCGTTCCAAAGCCCTGCTGCACCTCCGCAACAAGGAGTTCCAGCAGTGCATCGACTGCTTTGAGCAGTCACTCAAGATCAACGCCCTGCAGGTACAAGTACTGACACTGCTGAGGTTTAGGTTAATTTGATAAAAGTCTATCAAATGTATCAAAATTAGTCAAGATTAGGGTCATATGGAAATTAAACGGTCCACATACGTCTGTGTGTGAATAGTCAGATAAAGCAGCCCAGTGGACTGTCAAACTTTAACTGGATGGATCTGAATTTTTCCCACCTTTCAAAGCTATGAACATCTCTGCTTATTGGGTCTGTACATGCATTGCTTTTACTCTATTGTTGTTGTTGTTTCTTATTTTATCATTGTAACATTGTGCAAAAATACAAAAGTGCAAATGACAAAAGCAAAAAAAAAAAAACACAAAACAAAGCTTACTAAAGATCAAGGCAGTTTAAAACAAAGCATATTCCTTCATATTCTCTGACTAATGTCCCCTACTTTTTCTAAGATGCTTAATATACACTGGAGATCAAAATTGGAGAACAACCTACAATTTTCTAAATGTCAAAGGCACTGCTTATTCCTATTTGAAATTATCCAAACGGGAGTTAAAGCAGTATTTTAACCATATTTCATAAGTTACATATATTCTGAAGCACAGTATAAAAAACTATATAAGATATTTGAAAAAGAACACTAATCAAAATTAGAGAACACTTTCAGATACCTCCCAGTTATTGGTGATAATCTGGCACCTGGTGCTAATTTCCTTAATTATCTGAGAAACCCATTTAACTGGCAGCCTACCTTTCCAGTTTTCACTGACTTTGAAAGATGGTGAGCCATTCTAGAGTGACTGAAACCCTGGCAGCAGATTGTCCAGGTGAAGGCCAAAGGGATGACCCTATCAGCCACAGCAAGGGAAGTTGGTCGTTCCAAATCTATGATTTGTAGAATATTTAATCTTTACAATGTCACAAACTCATTCAAGCCCCCCAAGAAGGCTTGTCGCCCATGAAAGACAAATGCAAGAGAGGACAGGATAATGTGGAAAATCTCAATGGGCAATCGGTTCTACACTAAAGCTGGAATCACTCGCCAGGTCTTGTTCATCATGGCACCCTCCGAGGCAGGCGCGTTTTGCGCGTTCCACTCGAATACCGGCTTTTTCTTCATTTTCTTCTTTTTTGTGTGTTTTTTACTCTTTCTGCAGTGCAAAAATGTCATGCACTGCTAACATGGGTTTACAACACAACAGGAAATAAGAGAATGCTGTGCTCTAATTCTCGCTGAGACTTGGCTTTCTGACAGAGTTCCAGATTCCACAATTCAGCTAGAGACCCACTCTGTACATCGGGGAGACATCACTGCTGCTTCGGGGAAGGTAAAATGAGGCGGTGTGTGTGTTTATCAATAACTCGTGGTGTGGAGATGTATGGACTGTTTATAAGCACTGTTCACCAGATGTAGAGTTTTTATTGCTGAAATGCTGCCCCTACTATCTAGCCAGACAGCATAGTGCTGTGTTTCTAGCTGCTGTGTATGTTAGCCCAAGAGCTAATTCCTCTGCAGCTCTCAACAAACTCTATGATGTCATCAACGCGCTAGAGACAGCTCACCCCGATGCTGTATTTATCACTGCAGGCAACTTTAACCAGTGCAATTTACAGACTGTACTTCCCAAATATTACCAATATGTGAACATTCCCACCCGGGGCAAGAACACTCTGGATCATGTTTACAGTAACATACGTGGTGCATACAGGGCTGCACCCTGCCCCCACCTTGGACGCTCTGACCACATTTCTTTGTTCCTGTATCCAGCTTACAGACAAAGACTGAAACAAACAAACCCTGTCACAAAACAAATTAAACTCTGGACCCCAAAGACTGAAGTCACCCTGCAGGACTGTTTCGCCCAGACAGACTGGGATGTGTTTAAAGCTGCAGCCACCTCAGAAGAATTTTCTGTCAGTGTACAGGACTATGCTGAGTATGTGACCGGGTACATTAGTACCTGTATCGACAACATTGTGCCCACCATACAAGTCAGGAGGTTCCCCAACCAGAAGCCCTGGATAAACAATCAGGTACGCCACATGCTGCGTGCTCGCTCTCATGCATTCAGATCAGGCGATGAGACAGAGTACAAAGCTGCGAAGTAACAGAGAGAAGCTGAATGGCTTCTATTCTACTGCTGACTCTGGACGGATGTGGCAAGGCCTGCAGCACATCACAGACTACAGGACCACCATCATCAGCTCCACAGACAGCCTGCCGAATGACCTCAACACCTTCTACACCTGCTTTGAGACCTCCAGCCACAGCACAGAGAAGAAGTATGCACGCACCTTGAAGCCTGGTGTGTGCAGCCTGGAAGTAACAAATGCATGGATCAGTTTTTCAGCATCACTTTGAGACAGGATGCTCCTAATTTTGGTGATATTGTGCAGGTGAAAGAAGGCGGTTCTAGAGACTTGGTTTATGTGTGATTTAAAGGACATATCCTGGTCAAAAATAACTCCAAGGTTCCTCACAGTAGAACTGGAGGCCAGAGCTATGTCATCTAGAGCAGTTAGACAGCAGGCCCAAGTACAATAACTTCAGTTTTTCAGATTTTAGAAGCAAGAAAGTCATCCAGGCCTTTGTCTTTTAAGACATGCTTGACGTATGACCAGCTGATCAGATTCATCTGGGTTCATAGATAAACATAACTGAGTATCATCTGCATAGCAAAGATTCCATAATTTTCTTTTATATGGAGATATTTATAATGATTCCTGGCTCGAGACCCCTTAATCAAACAGTTGTTGTATATTGTTTAAAGATGCCCTCAAGGATGGTTTTTTCATATCATAGAAATGTAATTAAATTGTGAATCAGCACCCACCATAATAGTATTGATTCATTTTCTCTCAGTAAGGTGAGTTTTATCAACTCCCATTGATCCACATTTGCCTTTTTCAAATTAGTAGAACCATGTCAAGAGAAATGACATTTTCTACACCTGAAGACAACCTAATGCCTAATCATATCATTCTCACTTGAACCCACTGAAATGAGGTTGTTTGGAAACATCCTAGCTTCAGATTTTTGTCAGTTTATAAAACAGCCTGATATTTATCAAAAAGACTGAATTGCAGATAAAGCAGTAGGGACTGAGGAAACAGGAACCTTAATAATTAGTAAAACATGTAGAGAAACATCTGGTCTTCTTTCTCTCCTTGCATGACACCTTAATGCCATATTCTGTTCTGATTGCAGCAGCCAGTGGTGCCAAAAATGATGTAAAGAGTAGAGGACTGAGAGGATCTTTCTGTTTGGTTGCACATGTTAGGATAATGAAGGGTGATATCACTCTCTTCATTATTGCTGCTGCCCTTGGGTTTGAATAAATTACATTTACCCATTTGTTAAAACCCCCCTGAAAGCCAAATGTTTTAAGAGTATACCGCTAAAACTATCAAATGCCTTTTGGTCATCCAAGGACAAGGCAGCTATCAGGGTGCTCTCATCATGATTAAGCCATATGAGGTGTAAAAGACGTCTGACATTGTCCAAGGATAACCTTCCCTTTGTGAATGCTGCTTGATATGTGTGTTAAGTGTGGTAGCATCATTTCCAGCCCCATAGCAAGAACTTTCATCACAACCTGGCATTCTGGCAAAATTTACTCGTCTTCACTGTCAGCAGGTAGAAGGAATTAAAGTGCACCCTTCCCTCTATATTTACATGTATGGAAGGCTAATTTCTAACTTTGTATATTCATTCTTAGCAACATCAGTATGGGGTCAAAATCTGCTGTCATTTTAGTTTTACGTCTTCATCACCAGAAACAGACAGCTCTTCCCCTGTAGTTTGAAAGAGACTTTTTCCCCATTTGGTTTGGAAGTACAAATGTGTGAATGGCTGGCTGTGTCACCCCCGCTTTGCTTTTGGAATATATACTGCAGATGGCTGAATCCACTGAGAAAAATCCGTTTAAACAAAGAACAGAACAATTAAAGACAGTTCTGTGACGGGTATACAGTACCTGCAGTACTGTGAGCTGTGACTGCAGTGTTTACAGAGAAACATTACTTGTTAAAATCCGTCAAAAGTAAGAAAAGTATAAATTTGTGTGTGGGCTTTTACTGTCACTTCTCCACTCCTTTCCACCCAGGGCAGTAATGAGCAGGTTGTTAGTAGCAGTATGTCAGGCAGCAACAAAAGCTCTAGCAGAACTTAAACTGTCAATTTCCAGAAACCTCTGCAAATATCAACAAACCAGAGGTTTACCACTTTTTCATAAAGTTTGCCTTCTGCACACCTCAGGTCCATTTATTTCCACATACATGCAGAAAAGCTGGTGTTCTGTCTGCATTTACAGCTCCCATTTTCCCACATATATCTTTTCATGCAATTCCATCCAGACTAGTCTGGGATCAGTGAGCGAACCTATGTCTGGCTTTCTGAAACAAAGGACACACAAACATAAGTATGTTAGCTAATTTTCCTGTAACATCATAACAACAAGCCAAACCTGAGCCTTGATTTAACATCAGTGAAGACAGAGACCATCTGTCCATCCATTTTTTGACTCTTATTTGTTGCTAGGTTGTTTTGATATCAGGCTCAAAGTAGCTCAGATGCCCCTCTCTCTAACCGCCCCCTCTAGCTCCTCTGTCCAGGCCTCTTGCAAGGTATGAAAGGTAGGATGTCCAGGCCAGATCTGGTACATAATCCCTCCTGTGAGTTGTGGCTCTGCCCTGAGGCTGTCTATGCTTTCATTTATGATCTAATACCAGATAAACAACACTGCCATCTTCCTCAGCTGTGTATTTCTTATTTGATAGCAACTATTTACTATTGGGGTGGCTGTGGCTCAGGAGGTAGAGCGGGTCGTTTCTTAACCGGAGGATTAGTGGTTCGATTCCCGGCTTGTCCAGTCAACATGTTGAAGTGTCCTTGAGCAAGACACTAAACCCCCGGTTGCTCCCAGTGATGACACCGGTGTGTGAATGTGTGAGCGTTTGTGAGTGCAAATGGGTGAATGGCCAAGTAGTGTGAAAGTGCTTTGAGCGTGCTGTAAAGCAGTGTTTCTCAACTGGTGTCACCCCGGGACCCACTTTTCAACCCACTTGTCAAGTCGCGACCCACCAGTACTTTCAAATAAATTTATCAAATTATAAAGCATTTTTAAAGACATAGTCAGTATAGCCTTTGTGTCAGATTTTTCTGTCTGCATTGAGGAAATGTTACTCAAAAATACAAACCCGATTCCAAAAAAGTTGGGACACTGTACAAAATGTGAATAAAAACAGAATGCAATGATGTGGAAGTTTCAAATTTCAATATTTTATTCAGAATACAACATAGATGACACATCAAATGTTCAAACTGAGAAAATGCATCATTTTAAGGGAAAAATAAGGTGATTTTAAATTTCATGGCATCAACACATCTCAAAAAAGTTGGGACAAGGCCATGTTCACCACTGTGTGGAATCCCCTCTTCTTTTTATCACAGTCTGCAAACGTCTGGGGACTGAGGAGACAAGTTGCTCAAGTTTAGGAAGAGGAATGTTGTCCCATTCCTGTCTAATACAGGCTCAACTGTCTTAGGGCTTCTTTGTCACATCTTCCTCTTTATGATGCGCCAAATGTTTTCTATGGGTGAAAGATCTGGCCTGC